GATTATGTGGATGCCAATTACTGGTAATTCAACTTTTATGCAACAAAATACAAAAAAATGTTCTCTTCATCTATGTGCCCTGAACATTACAGGGGAGGAGGCAGGTTAAATTAAAAATATGAATTAAAATAAGAGGGCCCCCATTAATTTCAGTCCTAATTAAAGGAGGATCCTTGTTTTTCCAGATTCCCACCATTTTAAACTCACATATCTTGTGACCAATTTCTTATTTCAATGTTCAGTTTGGGTAGGACCATTGGTTAGAAACACCATGCATTAATGAAAGCTTGCGCTGGTGTATTTAATGCGATCTAAATAATAATATTACATGTTACAGTATGGTTACCAACACAGCAAAATTATATAATCACACAATTTCAAACAAAGGAAGTCAGAAGTCAACTTCTGAGGGCTTATGGTACAGAGAATTAAGACATAGTAAACAGCTACAATTGATACAAAGTTGAAAGTTTGAAAGCTAAAAGATATACATGACAATCATCAGACCCTATGCATCCTAGCAAAAGAAGGGTCATTTACCACCATACCTTCTCCCAAATGTTCATGCTTACAGGAAATCATTTATTTTTGTCTCTAGGTGGTACTGTATTCACAATAGTTCTGCCAACACAAATGCATTTTTCTAAAGTTATCTCATAGCACATGACTGTACAGGTCAAGTGGAAGGTTCCTGCATGGGAACTAACATTTCAATTACCTCAGCAAACTTTAATCATCAGAATTGCAAGCCATGGTGTATTTACCAGGTGCTAAACCCTTGCGAAATGGCTTTTGGAATTCCTAGAAATTCCTAGGATTTTCCTAGGAATTCCTAGGAATTTTTTCCTAGGAATTCCTAGGAATAAAGGTGTGAATGTTCACGGTAAATTCGGACTGGGAATTCCTAGAAATTCCCAGAAATTCCCAGAAATTCCAAGTTTATAGCCAACAGGACTCAGAATTCCTAGGAATTCCTGGGAATTCCAACTCAGAGAACCAATGACTTTCCCTGAAAAGCTGTAAGTCTAAAAAATTCCTAGGAATTTCTGGGAATTTTTGGGAATTTTTAGGAATATTTAAGAATTACTGGGAATTTTAAGCAAAAATTTGAGGCTAATGATATAAAATAAATACTTTAAATTAAAAAACCCAGCTAAAACTCAAGTATTCAATGAAATTTATTTAGAAGCTTAATTAAGGCTTACATGTAAAATATTTTTGATTCATTATTAACATCAATGTGTGGTAATATTAGGATGGAATTTGATTTTTCTTTTCTTGAAAACTTCATAAGGATTAATCCTCAATTACAGCTATTCATATAAAATAGTCCTAATCAATCATTAAATTTGGTTTGACACAAATTGTAAATAAAATCTGTTGATTCTTTTCCATAAAATACAATATCTTAAATTATATTTGAAAACCAAGCACTCTCAGGAGTGAAGGGGTTAATTACAGACAAATAAAATTGATTTTTTGATTAAAATCTTGTTGTAACTGTAACAATAAATTAGAATGAAGTTATCCTAAACTGCAAACTTAGCTGCTGTTTGTATTTTTTTCCTGGGCTCACAATGAGTTGGCCTTGAATGAGGTTGTCTACAAGAAGCTTGACCATTTTGTATCTGGGTTCCATGACATCTGAATTTGAAAAAAATATATATATTTAAATATATATATATTTAAAGCTCAGACCAGGCCTTCAAGATGGCTTTGAGGAAAAGGGCATTCATTGGATTCTCAAATTGAGAAATCTCTGTTATATTGAGTGACTTTTATATTGGAGTTAGTACATCTCTCTCATAGATTTTACTAAAAAAGGGCTGCCCTTACCAAAAAAGATAGCCTTGAAGTATACTTTAAGTATACTACAAGTATACTGCGTCAATAGTGGTTATACTGCAATCATACTTCAATAATACTTCAATAGTACTGCACTTACTTAAGTACATCTGCAGTACCATTTTTTAAGTATACTTTAAGTATACTGCTCAAGTGAAAATCGTTTTCTTTGTTGTTGATGTAGGGTACAAGTATACTTTAAGTATACTGCTCGAGTGAAAATCATTTTCTTTGTTATTGATGCAGGGTACAAGTACACTTTAAGTATACTGCTCAAGTGAAAATCATTTTCTTTGTTGTTGATGTAGGGTACAAGTATACTTTAAATGTTTGACACAAATGTAAATCAAGTTCAGGTCTGATTAAGTGGGAAATAACTCTACTGAAAAGGTACTGATGCTTCAGTTGATAAAGATCATAATTACTTTAATGTCTCACACAAATGAGAGTAGTAGGAAATAACTATACTAAAAAGGTACTAATTAGGCTTCAGTTGATAAGATCATATACATTTACACAATCAGATTGGCTGGTTTACAGGTATACTGTATTACAAACCAGAAAAAGCCTGCACAGCAAAGTTATCTTCTCAGAAGAATTATATTACACTGTATATTAGCTTTCAACTTCGAAAATACCATCCACACACACAGGTCTGCATGGCTCATTAACATACATATTCTTTGAAGTCATTGTAACTGCAAAGCTTGACACTAACAGAAGCCAACAAGCCAAGACTAGTAAAAATTCAGTTTTGGCTAGTGGTTTTCAATTATTTTCCACTAGACACTGGCTAGTAAACAAACTAAATTTGACCAAACTAGTTTCTGTCTTTCTTCAAAGAAGACAAACACAAACACTTTTCTCGCAATGTCTTTGTGGATCTATCATGTCACTAGGCACGTGATGTTCAGCACCATTGCAAATTTACATCTGTATTAAAAAAAAGTCTGTTTACTTTTCACTGTGTGGCCCCTAAACAGGTAACTGAACATGTTATTATGTTGAAAGAAATATTTGACAGACAAGACAGCATTTTCTGAAAGCACACATCAATTTTCTTGTGAAATATGTAGAAAACATGAACTTCCAAATAAAATCATGAACAAATTCGTGCAGCACTGTAAAGGGATAACATTTCATTAACTGTGAAAACACATGTCATCGTATGCTTACTGACAAAGTTTACAACTACAGAAATAATTAGCTAAGGAGGATTGATCTCCTTTGACATTTAAATCAGGCATTTATTGGCATAAAATTTCACCAACAAAGGTTTCCAGGATTTGTTGTTTTGCTTTTGAAACATTTCTATGGTGCCTGTCTGTGAAGAAGTCTCAACAGTTTTTACAATGTCTCCAGGTCTCAATATTTTTCCAAGAACATCTCAAAGAAAAACAGTCCTGAAAGTCTTTGTGGGAAAATTGCTAGATTTTTCTTTGTGATTTGTTAACCTAGAGATTTGAGGAAAACATGAGGCCCATTCAACAAAATTAGAACTGACACAATTCATTCATTTACTTAGCTAGTAAAAAAATTTTTGGCTAGTTAAGTCTAAGTTATCTCTAACCACTAGGCTAGTAAGTTCAAAAGTTAGTGTGGAGCCCTGTTACTACTGCCTAGTCCTTTTCAAACCTATTTGGAAGCTTACACACTGGTGGAGATTGAAAACCATGTGTAATTCTACCAATGTGTGGCTAGTGTCGAGCCCTGGAGGTAATTAAGGATAGAAATGGATATTGTAATCCCAAATCAATGGAAAAGGCATGGTGACAAACTACTGGTACATGGTGTGCCTCTTGCAAGTTGTATATTTTGTTGATAGGATTTAATAAAATAATTTAATTTGATAAAAATAATTTAAAACAAGCTTCAAATAGATGAAAAAGGAGGCAACAAAATCACAAACAGATGTAGAATCATTCTTTTGTTGCAAACTTGTGCTGTGATTGGTTGCTGCGACTCAAGTTTATTTTTACTGTTAATGGATATCTTTTTGATAGCTGGAGATGTTTTAACTTGCAGATGATAAAGAGGAAGTGATGAAAAGAAAAGTTGCCATGCAGAAATTGAAAAACCCCAAACAAACAGAACAAAGTAAAATGAAAAAGATAGGAAAGAAAACAAAGGAAAACAGAAAGAATGTCGGTGAGGAGAAGGAGGGTGAAGAATCCACACAAAAAGAAATGGTGGATAGAGAAGAAATTGCAAGAAAGAAAGCAGAACGACAGAAGAAACGAGTAGAATAACAAAAGGCTAAGGAAAACAAGGAAAGGGAAAAGGCTGTAAAAGAAAAGGAAAGAGCTGCTTTGATGGAAAGGGATAACCGCATACTTGCAGAGATGAACTCTTTAGCAAGAAATCTGGATGTCGAAAGCAAGCAGCCATTTACCAATTTATCTGATGAAGAGGAGTATGATGTTGACAGGGCTGAACCCATGGATGATGATGAATATTTTGGTGGAAGAGATATTATATCTGAATGTTCATCTTACCTTCATCCCCCCCTCTCTCTTCCTCCCCCTTCCAACTCTGCCAAACCAGCTTCACAAACCCCAAGAGCAACAGTTGGTGGAAAAAGACCCAGGGATTTCTCCCAGAGTCAATCACAACTTCCTCCAAGACCGACTGTGGGTGGAAAAAAGCCAAGGTCCACATTCCACCACAGCTGCCAAAAATGTGAGGAGTATAAGGAAATCATAGCTGCACAAAATCAAGAAATTGCTAAACTCAAGGCGCAAGGTAATTATATCTCACTTTTTACATGACTAGCACTCATATAATTAATGATAAGATAGAGAATGCAGGGCATTTTCCTGTCTGCTTTTCCTTTTGCTTCTCATTGGATTGACTAATTGTGAAGGGAAAGATGGATACCAGTTGATCATAGTCTATCTTGTATAATTTTACAATAACTCTGAAAGTAGGGAATAAACCAAAAAATCACTTTAATAAGGCTGCAACTCTTGCAAATTGTATTTTAATGATGCATCTTATTGTGTTTCAAATAGTGATGCTTGTATTAAGATATGAATATTATTTTGAAGGGAAGATTGTTTTTCCACATTTACATACTTATGAATTAAAATACTGGTGACAGCCAAGCAGATTGACCCACTGATTGATTGCTATATTTAATCTTCCCATGTTAGCTAGGTAATTAAAGCTATGATGTAATCCATTTATCTGTTGTAGTGAATGGTTGTTATGAAGAGCTCCCCAGACCTGGGAAAGTCCCTGAGATTGTGGCAGCACGCTTCAAGGTAAATGCTTTAAGGTTTAATACCTGGCAATTAGACTGTAAAGCTTAAGTTATCAAATTTATATATTTTTTTATAATTTGAGCTTAAGAGGCATATCTGACAATCAAATGCAATGTAGACTGAGTTTGTTTAGAGTTTTAAATAATTTCTTACATGGCTATTGTAGGAGGGACTACCTGAAAACTTCTGTGCAGGGAATCAGTTGAAAGTGCTTTAACTGCCTTAGTGGTCATGCACTTTCAAAATTCAAATGTTCACCATAGCCTTCCTTCAATTTAACATTAAAAACATGACATGATTGTTATGAAAACCTTATGGTTAAATTTGTGTGTCCTTTTTAGATGGTTGAGTTATCAAAAGGTAGAGGTGTCTACTTATACGAGGATCACATAAACACAGCCAAGAGTAAAAACAGCCCAACTTCAGCAGCATGTTTCCTGCTCAGCTGCTTTTATAAAAATTCTGAGCTAGTGGGAAAGAATCTGACCAGAGCAAATGCCAGAGAGGGCTTAAATGCTGATATTGTTTCCTCAATTTTGGGTAAGTACATTGCATTTGGTGTTTTTGTCATTTTATTACTACTGGGAATCTGTACACTTATACATGTTGATCAACATGACTTTCTCAAGGATCAGCCTTGTAAAAAAACTTTGGGACCATCCATATAAAAAAAGTGAGGAAAACAACTCCAAGCAAGTATTCAGAAGTTCCTTTGATCTAAGTGATCTCGGATTATTGATTGTGGTATGAGTCTTTCCAAAGTAACACAACCTTGTTGTCATGCATAAGTCTAGAAAGTTAAGCTCCTGTGTTTCTTTTTCTTTGCAGATTTTGTGGTAAAGCAAGAGGGGAAGGCCTCTACAATCAAGCAAGCCCTGAGAAATAAAATTAGTTCTCTAACCACAAGGGCAAGTGGTTGGCAACCTGCCAGGAAAGTAAACAATTGAATCGATTGAATTAAGATTAATTAAAATGATATGATTGGATACTCAGTAGATAGACTATTTTCTATTATGATTTGCACAAGGCTTGCTTGCTTCTCTAATTATTAAATAACAAAGTCAATTTTTTGATTATTACATTTTACAACAACCATTTTTTTATTGGCTTTAATCCCAACTAGAGACATTGTAAGTGACATTGCTGATTTTCATGAAATTTGTTTCTGTTTTACATGATTGAATGATGAAGTCCATTTTATAGATATTCTTCGTTTTAAAACAATGAATAGTTTTTGTTAAGTATCCCAACATTGTGAGAGTCAGTTCTAATTTGCATGGAATTTATTGTTAAAATTTATGAAATAATCCAATGATGGATTTAATTGTAAAATATAAATTTTTGCATCAAAAGACAATTTAAGAGCAGTCTTTTATTGTATAAATTTTAGGTTATTTGTCATGGTCAGTTGTACCAAATAAATTAAAGACATGAATTTCATACTTTTGCTTGAATGCTTATCTGACTTGGCCAAGTATATAATACAGCTGAATACATGCTGTATGAACTAGTGGTTGCATGCCTGTTCGTGCATATTAATTTACCTGGCTGCAGGTATGTATGCCATTCATTTATAATATCTTGAATACACTCTAAGTATACTTAAAGTATACTTTAAGTATACTGTACTTGTCAGTTTGCCACTAGTGGTTTTACTCATGAAGTATACTTGAAGTGCACTGCAAAATTTTCAGTACCTTTCAAGTATACTTCAAGTATACTTTTGGGTGTTCCAATTTCAGGTGGGAACAAGTATACTACAAGTATACTTTTAGTAGCTCTGTAAACTATACTTCAAGTCTACTGAAAGTATACTTTGTGTAACTTATTTGCAGTACACTTTGATTACAGAAATAGTATACTAAAAGTGTACTTAATTTTGGTAAGGGTGAATACATTATTTTGCTTTTACCAAGGAGGGCTTCTTTATGTAATAAGGTTTGTTTAATAACAGTTCCTATTATGAATCTTGAATGTTCCTAAACGTGACTAAAGGAATCTTGAAACCTTACTGATAGGTTTATTTCATTGTAAAGCATAAGCTTAAGAAACTGCGGCATGCAAGTGACCGATTCGATTCTCAGAATTATTCTAGTTTCAGTTGCGCCGAGCGTTATGTAAGCTTAATTCAACCCGCTACATCTATTCTTTTATAAGATTTTGATCACGTAACGAATATCGCAATTTTTACTCACTACAAACTTTCAAAATCGTAGCTTTACAGATGGCCACTCGACCCTTGTTTGTACCAGTCAATATGTCAACTGTTGTTTTAACTCCACTTCTTTTAACTCCACGGCGCCAACGACTTTCATTTCTTTTACAACACTCACGCTGTTCTCGTTTTCCCATTGAACCACAATAAAAGCTATCTTTAGAAATGTTATATTAAGCAAAACAGTTGAGAAAAACGATCAACCGATGAAAAGTACATTCAAAGATGAGCGCCAAATGGAGTCTTCTTTGTTTCCGATCACAGGCATGATCACGTGGATCTTTTAGGACTTGTAATTGGCTAGAAAAGTGAATCCGCTGGCTTGCCGATTGTAGTGTTAGGAGAAGCGCACAACTTTATTCTGACTTCTCAGACCGGTTCTCTACTTCTAGACGATGGATACCTTGGTGATATAAATAATGATGTGAGCTCACTCTATGTAGAAATAATCGACAAGAATCGATCGTATTACAAATGCACGATTTGTGGCCGAAAGTTGTCGAGGAAACAAAGACTCGAAACTCACTTGAGTTGTGTTCATGGCAAAGGTGAAATACAAGCTAATCACAGTTTTGAATGGGACTACAAATCGTCTTTTACCCTCATATTTATAAACGAAGGATACCACATTAGGAAGTATAAGAGATACATAGATGATCCCAGTGTACCAGTACCTAAATCTACAAAGCTTGACCGTAGCAAGCGTTCAGTAACCGCCATCTCGATTCCTCAGTCAGTCGTTTCCACTGAACTTAAAGCAGTAGTGACAACAGAGTAGAGTACGTCTTACAAAGGAGAAACATTTGTACAAGAGACAGAAGTAACTATATTTGATTACAGAGGTGCGTTGGAACTCTGGTCCACAAATAGTTATGCACTGTCCGAAGTATAAAACAATTTTGTTCATAGCTGACAGACAGAGAAGAACAACAAGTAAACTTTAGAGCTGTTATTATTGAAATGTGACTTGCAATTTTCATTTTTATATAAAGAAGGACTTGTATTTTGCACCAAAAATAAAAAGATGTAATATTTTTTGGGAGATCCAGTGATTGGGACATTTAAGAAATTAAGTTATGAAAGGAAAACTTGGTTGGTACTTCTCACCACTAACAAGTCTTGTTGATAAATATTTTCAGATCAGAGTTTCAAATAAAGTAAATTGAAGATGTCATTTAAAAGGTGTTTTTTCTCAAAGGGCACATTGACTACCCCTGTCTTGTCTGCATGCCAAATGTTTGCAAAGCGTGTGGATGATCCACAAGTATTGGAACTCTTACAAAAATGTTTTGTAAGAATAAAAATATGTGGACCTCAGGGTATTAAAATTGCCTCAAATTCAATTCCCATAAATTCCCAAGAGTTCCACACTTCTTAAATTATAGGTAGTTTGTAAAGCTGAGAATTCCTAGGAATTCCTAGGGATTCCAAGTCCTCACAAAACTGGAGTCTTCCTTTTCCAGAAATTCCCAGTAATTCCAAGCTTTTTAAATCAGAGTTAATTTGCATAACCGGGAATTTTTGAGAATTCCTAGGAATTCCCAGAAAACTGGGAATTCAGTTCGCAAGGTAAGTTTCCAAATTAGTTACCTAATTCTTACAGTGGAGTTCAATCCTTTTTTAGGCTATCTTCAGCTTAATCATCCTGTTACATGTGAAATCATCAAATGTTACTCACCTATTCAAATAATTACCTGAATCAAAAGTTATAATTTTTTTAATAACCTGCTACCTTTAATTGTGATCCAGGAATAGTAAATGGTATTGAAGAGAAAGGAAAAGCGTTCTAAAAACATTCCCTGTTGAATGAAATTATGTTATTAATGTTAATTGTGATTGCAACAAAAACATCTGTGAAGCTATAACAATTACCTTTCCAGGTAAACAAACCATAATGAAGCATGATATGAATAAATTTAATCTCACCTAGTCTGAATGTAGAATCCAAAATCTAATTAACTTACTGGTGGATAGGGAAAAGCTCAATGTGTTTTTCCTGCCTCTGTCATTCTAAATATCACAAATCAATCATGCCACCACTTCAGTGTGATTTTTTTAATGATGTCTGCTTTTTCTTTCTATCTTTTACCAGCAGACATCTGAGAAGAATGAAGTGTACACTGGAAATTTGACACATTGCAGGCAAACCCTACAACTGATTAACCCTTTAACTCCCATGAGTGACCAAGGCAGAATTTCTCCTAACAATATCAATACAATATCAATCAGATAAGTGATGAGAATAAAGAAAAATATAAACTTGAGAGTAATTGGTTGATCCAATACTAAATTCTTAGAACTATAAGAATTGTATAGTTGACAGTAAGGAGAATTACAAATTTTAACAGGGAGTTAAAGGGTTTAATTTTATTTGATCAAAAACATGCTAGCACAATTCAAGTTTCCCCTCTTTAAGTATTCTGTGATGTTTTTCTATCACATGGTAAAGTTTACAGTTTCCCTCATTTCACCGTCTTCTGTTCAATTGTTTGTTTGCTTTCCTAACAATCTTAGCTATTGTTGCCAACAAATGCAAGGAGCATATACATGAAAATGTGTACAGCTAATAACACTTTCATCCCTGAGAGTGACTAGCATCTAATTTCTCCATTCAATATCACCCCTGAGTCACACATTAAGGTCATGAGAATAAAGGAAATGATAATCAACTGACCAA